TGGAATGGGGGAAAAAGGTTAAATACCTCAACTTCCATAAAAATCAAAAAATTTTATGAGTAGCAACTACATGAAACTTCTCGATTGCTGAACAAAAGATTAACTCAATCTCTTATTATCTTACTCAAAAAGTCAAAAATGATCAGCACTGTCAGAGATTGTAGCTTTTGCCCTTTTTAGGGATGGGACTTGCTTGTGGACAGGATCCGGACATTGTTAGAACAATATGCTCATGGATTAAACAAGCAGTGAAGGTATGATTTACTATCTGCCGTAGAAAGCAGGAGTTTGGTTATGATACCCTTTCAACAACATTTTAAAAAAGCAATATTAATAAAAGAGCATATGGAACACAAATGTGCCATAATACGATATTGTTTCAAAAACATTACTTAGATTCCCTTCTTCCCCAAAATGACTCCTAACATTACGGATATCCGGTCGATAGCTGCTGCTGCTAAAGAAGGAGGTGCGAGTGGGGTCACTGCTACAAACACCGTATCTGGTTTGATGCATATGAAAGCAGATGGTACATCCTGGCCAGCAGTAGGTGAAGAGAAGAGGTGGACACCTAACTGATTATTGTCTAATTTACAATTTCGAAATCATCAATTCAAGAACAACTTATGGAGGCGTGTCCGGCTCGGCAATTCGTCCTATAGCTCTAAAAGCTGTTTCTGCTATAGCAAGACAATTGAAAGGATTTCCTATTATGGCTACTGGTGGTATTGAAAGTGCGGAAACGGGTCTTGCTTTTCTGTATGCTGGAGCTTCAGTTCTTCAAGTATGCCTCATGAATATGTTCTTAATTCAACTAATAGAATTGATAGCTTTGCGAATGACTTATTTCTACATATTTACGTGCTTGAAACGATGAAAAATCTTTCTAAATAAATGAATCTGAATATTTGTTCTTAACAAATTGAATGAATGAATATTATTCAAATCCCCAAATGTATTCTCGAATATTCTAGATGGAGACCCGTATGATCGATTATTCAAATTATCGAATAACTGGGCATAACTGAATATTCAATATTCAAATGCGGAATGAGTGCTTTTTTGAGTAACCATTCACATGTGCAAATAATCGGAATTCGAAAATCTTATGTAAATATAGATACTCAGTCTTATCCTATTTGATGATATGGCAGTTATTCGAACGAACCAATCGATGTTCGCAAACATTCGAAAATCGGATATTGTTTCAAAACTAAGCCCGAATATTT